CTACAGAATAATTAAAAATCTGGGTTGTTACAATCTTCACTCCTTTTAAAATTTCGTTCTCGAAATTTGTCATATGTGTAAGCTATCAGATGCGCACTCTAATAAATATATATTAGATGATTAATCTGATAGAAAATATTACCTCAAAAAAAAAAAACTTTTACCAAAAACAACACATTGCCTAGTTGTGAAAAATTATTTTGGGCCAAAATGAGAAACAATCGGTGATTTTAAAAACTTTTCATTAGTTTTATGATAAAATAAAATAAAATAAGATCATAATTAAACAAGTGACTGAAAATGAAATGACAGAATCATATGCAAGATTTGAAAGAATTTGAGATGAACTTCCATTCTTTTTTTCCATGAATCTTCCATTGATAGGAAATTGTTTCAAAATTAGTATCTTTAAAATTTGAACCTACTTGTAAAATGCCGAAACGATTTTTTTTTTTTTGAATACTGAACGGAAAATTATATGTATTTAATTTTATTATAATTTTGATAGGTGCTTGAACCCGACACCCTCTATATATTTTCTTTCTTTTACTATAACAAATAAAAATGATATCTAATAACCTTTACAAATTATGCACACACAAAAAAAAATTAATATATACTATATAAAATCATATAAAATTATAATATAATTAAATCGACTTAACAAAATATAATATTTAGGTACTAATTACCCGCTATCTTACTTCCTAAATGTGCGTGTGTCCTATGCTTCAATGATGACTTTTTATTTTTTATTTTTTATAAACCGTTGCTCTGATACCATTTGTCATGACCTGCTCCCCGTACCCAAGGGTTAAGTATCCTGATGGCCAGTAACTGAAGTTACCTCCGGCCAATTCATAAACAAATTAATAAACGCGAGCGGACGTAATATTTAAGTGAGGGTACCAAAATAATCATATGAGTTTCTATTTTTATTACAAAATTTATTGACCAAAAAGGTCGATATTTATATAGAAAAAAATATCATAAAAGTGTTGTGGGTGTCTATTCCGCAACCCCGCGTCTAAGACTTTCCAAAAGCTATTTCTGAATTGCATTGTTTCCTGAAAATTGGTAAACAGCTATAAGCACATGGCAGAGTGAGAAATATTATACCAAGAGTATAAGAGACACGAAATAACCATGGATAGTTAATTAGGCAAAAACATTTACATAACTCAATTTAGTAAATAAATCATTGGTGGAAGAAACTGAAATACATAAATTATGTAAATAAATAACCATGACCACGGTACAGAACAGAACATAACATAACAGATGTCACACGAGTGACAGTCAGAACAGAGGTACAGACTCAAGAGGTGGCTCATACGGACTATAGAGGTGGCTTCCACAATAATGTAGCACTTATCTCCGCACAGCACTTTGCTCTGCACAGAACAGAGGTCAATGGATCCATGACAAACAGAAGACTACAAAGTGGTCAAACAGGGGCCAATGGTTATTTAAGTCCACCAAGACATGGGACTCCCGTGGTGGTACTTACAAAACATAATTATTTATAAGGTTATAGTCAAATATTCTTAAAATATAAAACAAACATATCCATGGGTTTTCTTTTAACAAATATGGTTCATAAAATAAACCACGTAGCTGAAATAATAATATAGTTTATAATAATTTATAAAACATAACTTGTATAACATAAATATGGTAAGTCAAAACATACATAAATACATTATGGTGACTCAAGGTATAACATAACTCACTTTAACTTTAATATCTTACTCTTTCTTTCTACCATCAAAAACCTTCTCAGCTTCCATTATTTTTCCTTCCTTTCTTTCTTTCTTTCTTTCCTTCTTTTCTTTTCCCCTTTTCTTTCCAAGTGAACGCCTTCTCCCTATTTATAGGGAGGTGAGCATGTCCGCGGCCCAACACATGGCTACGCGTATCTTTCCTATAGATTCGATAATAAATTATATAGATTCGTTCTTATCTTTAATAAATATATAAGATAATTACATTTTGACCCAAGTTTTTAATATAATTATATAAATAATTTAATTCCTAATTAAATTACACTTTATTATATACCAACAGTAAATTAATTATTTATTTATATTTTGACCCCTAAACTTTTAATAATTATATTGTTTTACAAAATTACACATAATAATATATAATAAATTATATATTTTCCTAGCTGTGATTAAATAATATTAGTATAAATTCTACAGAATAATTAAAAATCTAGGTTATTACAGTATACCACATCATTATCCATTAATGTAATTTGTCTACAAATTATGTCTGACAAATTGATTATTTGCACAATTCATTTTTTACAGTTTAATTTATGAGATTAATGGTTTGAATCATATTATTGATTAAGATGACACTCGCAAAATGAAGGGAATGGCTCCTCTCTATACTACTATGCTATATACTTTATCATATTCTATTTTATGGCCTCATTCTGAACTCACAACTATAATCCAAAATGTTTATCTTGTAAATCTCATAGTAAAAATTATTTGTACAAAAAATCAATTTCATCGAATATCAATAAATAAATGAAAAATTATAGTATTTTATTTTATAAAATGAAGGTTTAAGTTTAAATTCATGACTACTGCCTATTTTAAAAAATAAATTATAATTTATTTATATGTCTAGTAATATCTAATGAAACTGATTTTTTTTACAAATGATTTTCATTATGAAATTTACAAAATAAATTATTTGAATTATCACGGCCATGAATAAGACCCATAAAATAAAAAGCCTGGACGGTCTCCAGTCCCGAATCAGACTGGACAATCCAATCCAATCCATTGGGCTCACTTCTGAGTCTTGTTTCGATAATTAGAACCGTTCACGTTTTTAAGTTCGTCGAATACGTTATCTCTGCAAAAAAAATCAAGTCGATCAAATAATAATCACTTCGTGTTCGGATTAATTTTGTATGAACCATTTATTTTCTCACCGTTCATTTTTTTTCATACAAAATTGATCTGAACACATATTTGTTGTTATTTGATTGACTCGATTTTTTATAAAAATAACATGCTCAATGAATTTTAAAATGTAAATAATTTAAATCATTAAAACAGAACAAAAATAAAAAAATATAAATTATCAAAACAAAGTAGTAAATTCAATGGACCAAACAACACCTCCCCCGTTTGGATCAGAGAGTCCTTAATGCCGTATTTGGTTGAGAGATTTAGAAAGTAATTTTGAAAGAGAAAATGAAAAAGTAAATAAAATATGAATAAAATCTATATAATAAAGTAGGATGATTTTTGAATTTGTCTTACACACATTTGTCCTACTAGAACATTTGGAGAGCTTAGATCTATTCAAATTATAAAACAACGGTTAAGATATATTTTTCAAAAAATATCCTACATGTACATTTTTTATTTTCCCGCTTCTCACTCTTACTTTTTTCTTTTTTCACCCATTCTTCCATGATCTCACATTCCTCTCTCTTTTCATTTTATTCTTTTTATTTTCTCCTATTTTTATTTTTCCCTCTATTTGTTTATTTTTTTATTTTCTCCTTTTTGTTCACTTATTTTTATTCATATTATATGAAAAAGTCTTGAATCCCAAAATTAGGAGCCAAATTTTACTATGTATTAGAGATTAAATTAATGAATTTTATAGTTCACAAATTAAATGAATTTGAACAATTAATTATTATTTTAAATATGTTGAATACTTGATAGACTTCATAAATTTAGACTTATATGAATCTTCAACATCTATATAATAAAACAAGATGGTTTTTGAATTTGTTCTACACACATTTGTCCTACTAGGACATTTAGATGGCTTAAATTTATTTAAATTATAAAACAATGGCTGAGATATACCTATATGTACATTTTCTATTTTCTCGCTTCTCTCTCTTACTTTTTTCTTTTCTCACCCATCCTTTCATGATCCCATGTTCCCACCTTTCTCTCTCTTTTCTTTTTATTTTTTTATATTCTCCCATTTTTATTTTTCTCTCTATTTGTTTTTTTTTTTTACTTTCTCCTTTTTGTTCACTTATTTTTATTTATATTATATGGAAAAGTCTTGGATCCTAGAATTATGAGTCAGATTTTACTGTGTGTATTGGAGATTAAATTAATGAATTTTATAGTCCACAAATTAAATGAATTTGAACAATTAATTATTATTTTTGAATGTATTGAATACCTGATAGACTTCATAAATTTAGACCTTACATGAATTTTCAACATATTTTAACAAAGCATGATGGTTTTTGAATCTTCAACATGTTTTTTGTCCTATTAATACATTTGGATAGCTCAGATCTGTTCAAATTATAAAACAATGGCTGAGATATATTTTTTCAAAAAATATCCTACATATACATTTTCTGCTTTCCCACTTCTCTCTCTCTCTTACTTTTTCCTTTTCTCACCCATCATTCCATGATCCCATGATCTCACTTTCCTTTCTTTTTATTTTATTTTTTGTTTTCTTCCGTTTTTATTTTTCTCTCTATTTTTTTATTTTTTTATTTTCTCATTTTTGTTTAATATATTTTACACATATTTCCATGCAATGTATGTATGCCCATAATATACTAGGACATTATGGGCATATATACAATTTTCATGTAATTATATAAGCAAAACCAATATTGTATGTATGCCCATAGAAATTATAGGTATATCAGGCACATCTATCTATCCAGCTATATATTATATAAGGAAAAACAAGTTTTCATGAGGTGTTTTGTGATAATTCCAAAATTTTATAATAAATTTATAATTTTATCAAATTAAAAAATAAATTTAAATAGTATTGAGATTACAATTATATTCTAATCCTAATATTATTTATACCGTACCTTCAAATACGGACATACGTTAATATATTTATATTTTATATAATTTTACACGTTTTTAAAAAAAAAATAAAATAAAATTCCCAAATTTCTCAACAAAAATAATGTAAAACAAAACTATTTTCTGTTTTACAAAACAAAGAATGAGGAAGAATTTTCTCACTTTCATATGTTTTCTCACCAAATCCTTTACTTTTGAAGTGGGGTGAGGTGGGTTGGGGGGTGATGGCCTTTCGGTAGTCGTCGTTTTCCTATAGCTGCAGCCGACTATTTGATTTGTCGGCGTGTAATTCAACTTTTATTTGCAGCGATGTTGACATAATACTATGCGTTCCAATTCCCCACACATTTAACTCCAGTTTCGGTTATAATTCATTCAACAACACTTTCTTTGTCTCTCTCTTGTTTTTATTTTTGTCTGAATCTCGGTGACCTCTTTCATGAATTTGTTCTTGTATCCCAATACCCAATATTATTTGTTCTGAATTTCGAAGATCCAACCGTCACTTCTTTCATTTGACGACCTGGATTTTCTCAAAACTTCACTGTTTTGTTGGGTTCATCGACTGATCAGGTTGATTTATATTTCATTTTTCATTTTTTTATCATTGAGAATTATGTTGGGTTTTTATTGGTGGTGATTTTCTTTGATATATACAAACGCCTACATGCATATATATGATATACACGATGTGTTTTTAACTTCTGATTAAGGGCGTATGAGGGGTTTCATAGGTATTGAATCTATGCTTGGATTGTTTATTTATGTTAAGGGTTATGGGTATTGATCTGACAGGAAAAAAATGATTCTTTGTTTGTAATTTTGTTGTGTGATCTGTTTTTTGGAAGGTTGATGCTAGGTTTGTTGGGCATTCATTCTAAATGAGAAATTGTTTTTATTTGGTTTAATTATCATGTTTTGCTATTCAACAAAAAAATTACTACAGTTTTTTCTGGACATTGATTAAAAGGTGAGACACATTTCATTGAATTCAATACACCTTTTCACCTATTTTCAAAATACTTTTTTAGCTTTTTTTACCTATTTTCAATGCGATGGGGCACTTGTTAGCATTTGACTTGATCAAAATATGGGAAATGGGTTTGTGTTTTAAATTGTAAGGTTCTATTTGCTTCTGATGCAGGGTATATGCAAGTGTATGCAGTAATAATCCTGTAGGACAAGTGAGTTGACTTTGTGCATGAGTTCCAATTAAGGTTGTTCAAAATATAGCCCAATCCGCACCGTTCTATCCGCTAATTGCGAATTAAACTTTAAAATTTATAATCTGTCTTTGAAATCGCTCCACTCCGCTATAGTTAATAAATATATGTATTTTAACCTCTAATGAAATATTAAAGTAAAAATGAGTGTGAGAGGGATTTAAGATGCGGAATTTGTTACAAATTAGTAGTTATATATATGAAAAATAATATATAAAATTAATTTGTGTTTTATATATGAAAAATATTATGCAAATTAGTGTTTTATATTATGCAAACACTTGATAATTGGTTAAGAATATTTTTCAGTCTGCCAAACCGCCCCCAAACTGCCCAAACCGCGATTTGGTTATTTGCCAATCCGCCATTTGGTTTATAATTTTACTCTCAAACCGTCCGAACTGCACTGCACACACCCCTAGTTCCAATTGCTTTTGCCTTACGAACGTTGTTTATCATCTTCAGCTCAAAATTGGATGCACGTGTGTGCAGTGTCACTTGTGTTCTTAGCTAATCAATCTAATGTCTGCATCAAATCTTACTACAGTAGCATCTAATGTGGGGATCCTTTAGTTGCTAAAATATTTTGATCAAAATTCTGAATTGAGGTTTTCCCCAGTTGGCTTTTATTTTCAATGTATTGTTATGGTTTCTTTCATTTTTTGTTCAGTCTTTATTTTAGTAACTTATTTGCCTGTCTATTGATGCTGACAGTGCTGAATTATTGATTTCATTGTAGGAAGATTGGAGTTGACTTTGTGTCGGATGACCGCATTGGTGTTTATTTAGTTCTGCTTGGGAATGACTGCCAGAGGGATTTCATCTGTTAAATCACACAATTTTTTTCTCAGATTTACCATGGCTTTGGCATCAGCTGTCCTTGAGTGGTTACTGATCTCTATGTTGTTTATTGATGCAATTTTCGCGTACTTGGTCACAAAATTTGCTCGTTATTGCAAATTGCAAGTTCCATGCTTGCTATGCTCGAGACTTGATCATGTTTTGGGCAATGAAAAACTTGGATTTTATTGGGATTTGATCTGTGGAGATCATAAATTTGAGATTTCATCTTTTGTTCTCTGTCGTGTGCACAACAAACTTGCAGATGTTCATAGAATGTGTGAAAGTTGCCTCTATTCATTTGCCACAATAAATAAATCCAACTCTGAAACATACAGATTATTGGTTGGTAAACTTGGGGCAGACTCTCACCTTGGGCTCGAGGATCACAAGCTTGGTTCCCCGAGAACAAGAAATTGTTCTTGTTGCAATGAGCCATGGATTTTGAGAAGTAATGCCCAAAACTTGCTTCAGACTGTGTCAATTGGGTCAGAGGTTGCTGAACTTGAAGTGCCTTTATCGGTTGCTACCGAACTTTGGGATGGCCTTAAAAAGATCAGAGAGGAACCATCTGGGTCACTTAGAGCGTACCATATGGGGAAAAATGGTTTTGATCCTTTGTCTAATATAGAATACACGAAAGTCAAGATTACTTCTGATACTGAATCAGAAGTCCCATTTTCCGATGATGATGACAGTAGCGCTCTAATTCGGGAAACTGCTGATCTCAAGGAAGAATCTGCTGTTCAACATGTGGAGATGCAGCCTCGGAAAAATGATTTTGATCCTTTGTCACATATAGAATACACGAAAGTCAAGATTACTTCTGATACTGAATCAGAAGTCCCATTTTCTGATGATGATGACGGTGTTGCTCTAATTCGCGAAGCTTCTGATCTCAAGGAACAATCTTCTGTTCAACCTGTGCAGATTGAGCCTCAGATTATTTCTCTAGAGGATAATTTGACCTCAGAGAAATTGATACATCCAGATTCTGCACCTGAGCTGTCAACTGTAGACTCACAGGTGCAGCTTAATGTTATTGATTCCCAATGTAACGCATCTGTAGCATCTACTGCAGCAACTGGGCACGGGTTAGAGGAACTTAACTGGTCGCAAGTTGAACATAAGGTTGATGCATTTGCATCTGTTGATGAGGTCCCTCAATCCTCCAATGTCGCAGATACCCTTGTTGAAGAATCAACAGTGTGCCGTAAGTTTGAAGTTTTTGGAATATTGCTTTTACTCCACTTCTTTCCTTTCACTTGGCATCATTGTTTTAGGCAGTTGTATTTGACTCTGTATCTGTTCTTTTGTATTTATTGGTTTCTTGCAGTAGATACCTTGGGAACACGTGAAGTGGAGCAAAAAAGTGTCACTGAGAGTGGAGAGGTCATTGAGGCAGAAAGTAGGCCTGTTACAAAAAGTGAGACAACTTCAGAAATAAACCCTGTTATAAATGGTACTAATTCACTGATGCCTAATACTTTGGATCTTTGCGATGCTTATAAGTTTGCTGTTAAGGGAAGACAGTTGTCTGGAAAGCTGTCAGAGCAAATGTCTCTGAAGGATGGAAGACTTAGTGAAGATTTGAAGCTCTTGCTGTCACAAATATCTGTTACCAGAGGAATTGAGTTACCACTGAATGATATGAGTCCTCGAGTGTCTGGAAATCGTAATGAACCGAAAACTGATTCTTCCAGCTCTATTGGAATACAGATGCTTCAAAGAAGGATCTCACTTGAGAGAAATGAATCTGGTTTGTCTGTAGATGGAAGCGTTATCAGTGAAATAGAAGGTGAAAGTGAGATTGATAGGTTAAAACGACAGGTTGAGCATGACAAGAAATTATTGAGTGCTTTGTATAAGGAGTTGGAGGAAGAAAGAAATGCTTCTGCAATTTCTGCAAATCAAGCAATGGCCATGATCACAAGATTACAGGAGGAGAAGGCAGCACTCAATATGGAAGCCTTGCAATGCGTTAGAATGATGGAAGAGCAAGCTGAATATGATGAGGAAGCACTGCAAAAAGCAAATGATTTTCTTGCTGAGAGGGAGAAAGAGATTCAAGATCTAGAAGCTGAGCTTGAATTGTATAGGAATAAAGTTGGGAATACATCAATCTTGGAGAATGAACTGGATTCAACTTGTGATTTGAAGCCAGGAGAAGTGAGAGCAGAGCATTCAGATACAAGTTACTTTAAAAATAGTGCCAATGAGCAGACCAATAATAAACCTCTTGTCTGCAACAAAGTTGATGGAACAGGTGTGCTTTTTGGGGAAAAGCATACAAATAATGCATGCAATTCATTGTTAGAGTTTGATGATGAAAGGCTGTACATTTTACATTGTTTGAAAAAATTGGAGAAAAAGCTTCATTTGTTTTCAAATGATGGGATTTATTTGGACAAGGCTAATGGTGAATATTCAGGAACAAAAGGGGATAGGGTAAGTGACTTGAAAGAGCTTAACTGTAAAGGGTGTACACAAGAAAACAGTGAAAAACAAGAGAATGATTTATCAATGCAAAAGCACATCTCTGTTTCTGTTCCTTCATTTCAAAACCCTGAATTTGTTAGCAAAGTGAGTAGTGAATTTGATTCTGATGTAGTTGCTCTCGGAGATGCAGTTTCCAATCTGATCAGCAGGTTGGAAGCACTTGAGGCAGACCATAATTCTTTTGATCATTTTTCCAAGTCACTTAGAATGGGAGATGACGAAATTAAAATTCATTCAGGGGATATTTTGTCTCATGTGAGAGAACTATGAAGGATTGTGATTGGAAGAGAAACATTTTGCTTGGAACTTTACATCTTACCATCTCAAGGTAACCATTTTTCACCGGTTTCCTTCTCGTTCTAATTATTTTTCATGTCTATATATCTGAACTGAATTCTTCAGAAACGATCAACAGTTAGGCTCTCGTGTAAATAGCTTGTCAAAAGTAATGAGGTTAATTAAACAATGAGGTAATAGATACATGTACATAGTAGTGATGCTTGCTACTTCAAAATTCATATCCTTGCTGTGGGCCAGAATTTTGACTGTAGCTCTTTTTTGTATATATTTTCTTTATTTTAAGTATGTGATTGCAACTCTAAGATTCTTCATCAAGTACGAGAAAGGAAGATGTCATGTGGAGTAGTGTAGTTCTCCAACCTAAATGTAGCTTTAGGTAGTTTTTTACTAGATATGAAATTTGTAATACTTAACATCCCACTGTATGAATTAAAGGAATTTTTACTGCACATAGCATATTTTTTATACTTTTCCTATGCTATGATAAAATTTAGCGCCAAAATGTGCCGTAAGTTTGAAGTTTTTGGAATAATGCTGAAGACTTCAAGGTGCTAAAATAGTATTTCAGGGTAAACTTGGTACGTCTGAATTTTACTATTAACTAATACTTTGCATGTCCTATGACTTATAAGTGGAAGTCTAGGTACACCCAGGATCCTTTGCAAGCGAAACAATCAATTTTCAGTTTTCAACACTTAATAGTGCTACGAAATAGCCCGTAGGTGCACCCTATGTTACATGGATTCATGTATGCATGTTGGATGCACATATGTCTCTAGGCTTAGGATCATCTAATTCCCTAGTCCAAAGACACTGTGACATGTCCAAGTGTTTGTATTTTTTGGTAGTCTAGTTTTATTTCTTAGGTAAATGGTGTTTTAATGTAAAATAGTGTGTTAAACCTGAGCAGATGGTCATTTTGAAACCAACCATGTCATTAAAGTAACTTATTTTAAGGAATTAAATTACCAAACATGCTTGCATCTGCTTGTCCAAAATAAATATGTCAAGAGCATGTCCGCTACCATTACCAAAGTGTCGGGTGTCAACAGGATTCATATCCTCTCCATTTCATGGATGAAATAGAGATCTCCATTCCATTATCAATGGTTATGAAAAATGATTTTTAACAAATTTTGATTTTAAATTACATCACGAGGGAGTGAATGACATATCACCATACAAAACTCTAAAGATAAACTTTTGAATCTCACTGGAATCAAGAGGGGTTGCACTCTTTGATCTTGAATGGGGAAACCTAGGAATTAGTGTGTAGGGATTAGGTCTCTCACCCAAACACAAATATTTCATTCAGTATCATCTTACTAGGAATTGACCAATCATCTTTTACTACGGAGAACATTAGATTAGTAAGCTACTTGAACGAATAAATTATTTAAGAAAATAGTTAGCAACTAGGGTAATTAACTACCTTGCTTAGTGGTAAAGGAACACCTTTTCCTTCTAGGCAAATTTATATGTGGGCCATGGGCCTTGGTGCTAGACTGTGCTGTGATTCTTGGGGCTATATCATGGACCTTGGGTGTTGGTCTGAACTTGTTGATTGAGCTTCCCAGTTGATCCATCTCTGGCCTTTGAAACTAAACTAGTCTGTGAGTTTTATATTATCTAAACGTCCTTTTTGTAGGCCTCCTACTCTCTGCATAGTTTTTCTTTTGATAAAGCGAACTTGTCCTCGTGTTTTGAAATGTTGACGTAATACTACAGTTACTTGAACATCTATAACTTATAACTGGACGTATATTTGCTACTGTTACACATCGTTTTCTTTGCTGGAGGCAAGGAGGTTGATATATGAGTCCCTCATTATTATTGATTTATTAATTTTACCTGAAATGATAAAACTGATTGCTCAACCAGTTTATGGCAGAATGACGTTCTTTGATTGATATTTGATAAAGAACTTAAATACTGACTCTTATGTTTCTTTGTTTTGATGTCTATTGGTTTGACATGGGTTCTGCCTCATGTTGGACTCTCAATTGTTGCAAAAATTGAACTTCTTGTTTACTTAAATCTCCTATACTCTAGGTCAATTATGGTTTGGAATTGCCAACTGATCTAGGACAACTTTGAGTATCTCAAACATGGCAGGTTTGTGAATAGGTTTAAGTGATACATGAAAAGGTGCAGTGTTTGTAGATAAAGAAAAGGAAGAACGGGCTTCATTTTCAAAATTGTAGTTTGAATGATTGTCTGAAAACTTGGGGTTTTAAGGGTCTGGACTGCAACTTTCTGTGGATTTTATGTTTGGGAATGCTGGCATGCTTATGAATTGGTTTAAGTGGTACAAGAAAGGGTGTAAGTTTTGTAGAACAAAAGTACACTCTGTTTAGTCCCTCCAGGTAAATGGGGATCTGGGTGCAAGTTTTTTCAAACTTACAGTTTGCAAGATTTTATGAGAACTTGGAGATGTTGAGGATTTGGACACCAACGGAACTCTGAATTTTGGGGTTAAATATAAGGTCAAAGAGAAGGGAAGAGTTTAGGGTTTATTAGATCTTAACACTGAAGAGTTTTGATTGGAGATTTTGAGGATTTGGACACTAACCGAACTCTGAATTTTGGGGTTAAATATAAGGCCAAAGAGAAGGGAAGAGTTTAGGGTTTATTATGGAAGAGTTTTGAGGCTGTTTCGCGGCCATGAACGGTACTCAAGAATAGTACTTTTACTGTATGGTGTGAGTTTTGGTTGTTAGGGTTTAAGTCTTGAGGTTAGGATATATTGGGCTGGTGAAAAAATTTTCCAAAGCACAATTCCAAAATTTCTAAGGCTCAACTTCATTGAATAGAAGAATTTTGTAGGTATTTATAGAGGTTTGTGTCTAATCCTACTCAACTATGACTTCGAATTCTAATCCTACATAAGATACTTGTATAATTTTCATTTTCTATTGCGGTGCTTATTTGATGTTGGACTGTACTTTCATACAAGTGTCAGTATGTGTCTGGTCTAGTCCCTGATGGTCCCTGATGTACTAGCTCTATTTATGATCTAATGATGTTCTTTTATTTACCAAAAAAAAAACACAAAACAAATCAAGTTTGTTAAATTGTGTCTTTTATGTTTCAGGTGCCTAGGGTAAATGATGCTTTTGATGCTATGGACAGTGGGAAGGTACTCATTACTAGTTGGTACCCGGTGAAGCAAATGTACTGTATCATCAGCTTGTTTTCTCCCATGACATAGGTTGCATAGTAGTTGACATTTTCTCTCCTCTTTCCTCCTCTTTTCTTTTTTGTGTTTTTTTGGGTATTTGTTTTTCTTCTTGGCATATTTATTTGACCTTGATTTTACTCAGATTGCTTGTAAAGTTGGTGAGGGTTTTTTTCATCCTCTAAGAATGGGGAATTTTCCATTTGTTGTCTCTTCTCCTTTCTATGTGGTTTTTGTTTTTAGAGCAAGGGGGACTAGATGAGTGATTGTATCGCATGAGAGTGGTTTCTTGTGTGTGAAGTGAAAAATCAGGTATTTGTGAACAAAGTTCATTTCAATCAGTTGGGTGTTGATGCCAATTTGTAAATTCAAACAGATTATTATGATTTGATTTCATCTCTGTTGCTTTTTTATGTTTTAGTTTGAGTAAATTAGAATGACTTCCTCCGTCAATTAGAATCAATAAGCTCTGCTAGTTTGAAAAATAAAATAAAATTACAGTGACCTCCGTCCATTAACGGTGGCATAAATGAAGGTAGCAAAAGTGATAAAGGCCCCGTTGGACAAGTTGGTTATTTTAGTAGATTATTTTAGTTTTGGGCTATTTTAATAGGCTAAAATAGTTGTGTTTGGAAAAAGAGTAGGATTTTTTTTGTAGTTGAATGTGATGTTTGTGAGAGAAAAAATACAATGTTTTTGTGTTTAATATGACATTTTGTCTGATTGATTATTTTCGCCCATTTTGTTTTGTTTTTTTTTTTTTAATTATTTCAGTCTATTTTATCTTTTAGTATTATTTTAACCCAAAAAGTCAAAAAAACTTCTTCCCAAATATTCCCAAAGTTACTTTTTTTACGCTAACTCTTTCTTTTTTTCTTTATACTCAAAGTACCAAAAGCATTTTTTTTTCTTTTTTTCCCAGTGAAAACTGCTCTCCACCTTTATACTCAAAGTACAAAAAGCATTGCTAGTCCCCGCCCAACAACCATCGACACTCTGCTTTGCCTCCCTTAAACTCGGATCATGACTCTGCCTCTCTTGCACCATCTACAATAGCCACTCCCCTCCTCTCCTATCCTTTATAAATGGAAATTTTATACTACAAATTTTTCTAACATGATGTCACAGTGATATTTTTCAAATAATAAGTAATTTTTAATGAGTTTTTGGTTTAAAATAAATGGATATATTTGGATAATTTTTTTAGATATGTAGCATGAGTGGTGGCTCAAGCTGTAGCTCAAGTGATTATGAAAGGGCATTTAAATGCCTAAGGTCTGAAATTCAAATTAATGGGGGTGGCATCTCTATATGATATAGTAATCTAACTCTAATAGCTGTGGGGCACAAAAAAATAAAATAAAGAGAAGTAAGAGTGATGATATACAAATATAAATCTATACAGAAAATTTATATATAATGACTTGGTTGAATTTTGAGCTTATCACTTTAAAATAAAGAGTTCATTAAGATGTCTTTAAATTTTAATATACAAATGACATTGTCCTATAGTTTTTTTGCAAAATTTTATATAAAACTGAATGACGTTCTCCATGTAAAAAAAGTTGTTATTATGAAAAATTTATGTTGAATTTGTTACTAGAATGATATGGCAGTGACATTTTTGTAGTTATCAATCACCTTAGAGGGTTCTTTGGTTTGGACTTAAAGTGATATACTTGTAATGCAGTCATATCAATTTTTTTTTTTTTAATATAACATTATTTTATTCATGTAACACAACTGAGTTCCAAAAATAACAATACCACCATCCCCTCTCCCCTCCCAAAGTTCTCCATGTAAAAAAAGTTATTCTTATGAAAAATTTATGTTGAATTTGTCACTAGAATGATATGGCAGTGACATTTTTGTAGTTATCAATCACATTAGAGGGTTCTTTGGTTTGGACTTAAAGTGATATACTTGTAATGCAGTCATATCAAATTTTTTTTTTTTAATATAACATTATTTTATTCATGTAACACAACTGAGTTCCAAAAATAACAATACCACCATCCCCTCTCCCCTCCCAAAAAAAAAAAAAAAAAAAAAAAAAAAAAAAAAAGACCTAAAAAAAATAAAAAATTTAAAATTTATAGTGGATGGTAAAGATTCACTTAAAGTGCGGCTCCACAACATCAACTTAATTTATGCACCATGAATTTAAAATTCATGACGTTTTTTTTTTTTATGATAAATAAAATTCATGACATTTTTTTGGGTACAATTCTTTTGAAAAATGTTTGAGGGCCATAAAAAGTGTGGCTCAAATGGCTCAAAATTACCAAAACGATGTCGTTTTGCGTCGTTTTACGTCTAAAACGACATCGTTTTGACAATTTTGAGCCATTTAAGCCACACTTTTTGTGGCCCTCTACCATTGCTCAATTCTTTTACCGTAGGCTTTCTATTCTAAAAAAGAAAACTTGGTGGGGAAATAGGCGTGGTGGGTATGCCAAGTCTAACATCATGGGATTGCTATTAGATAGATTTGGCAAAGAGTAGAGGGCAAACAAAGAACCAACCACGCAAAGAAGAGAGGAAAGGCCAAAATCAAACCCAAACAAATAAACATAAAAAACCCAAGGCAACCAAATTGGAATAGCTTAAGTTAAAAGAAACAAAACAGGAATAAGCTAAACTTGTAATCTTCAACAATGGTGGTTAAAAAGAAAACACTATGAATGTGTACTATTTATATAAACCAAACCAAACAGAGAAAGGAGACCAACAACACAACATACAGTTCACGTCAAAAGATTGAATTCAATCATCAGAGTGTGGTCTAAAAGAGAGAGAGAGAGAGAGAGAGAGAATTAGACAAACTATTATAGATTTGAAAGAGAATGGGATCGGGTGGAAGAGGAGTCCGACCCGTATATGAAGATTTCAGCCCAAAATTCGAATGGAAAGAATATGAGCAATCTCACATTTTATTTGTTTATCTTCCTCTCGGTGCGTATCCCTTCCTTTCTTTACCCATTTAGACATTTTTTATTTTTTATTTATTTTTTTGGCTTTTTTAGAAGTTAAGTTGATACCTCGTTTGTCAACTGTCATTTTTAGTCAAAAAATTAAAAAGTTACTAAAAAAATCAAAAAGTTAAAAACTCATACCAAAAAATCAAAGATTCCTTTTTTTTTTTTTTTTTATCTTTTTTTTTTTTTTTTTTTTTTACATCTTTTTATAAAAAGTCAAAAATTCATCACAAACATACTAGTTTTTTTTACATCACATTTTAGTCAAGAAGTCAAAAAATTACTAAAAAAACTTGTTTCCAAACAAGGCCTTTGGGCTTAAAAGGCTACGTGCAAAACAATAACTACAGAGGGTAATAGATTCTCACAAACAATACCTTCCCTGCCAAACAAGCCTTTTAGCAAAAAAAAAAATTATTTAATTTAAAAACCACACTTTTTTTTATTATTATTTATTTTTATCTTTTAAGTCTTTGGATTTTTGTAGGTTTGTTTTATTTTATTGACATTAATTTTAATTTATTTTTAAAAAATAAAAAGACGAAATAAACCCGGGATGCAAATGGGAGGCGTGGCAGGAACAACGAAAACCCACCCGTTTGTAATACCTAGCTAGCATTTCTTACATTAACTATAATTAAATAACTACTTTTAAGGTTTCATGGTCTCGATTAATATAATTATTTGCAGATTTCATGAAGGACCAAATCAAGATTTCAACAGAAGGCATAAACACCCTCAGGGTTACCGGAGGGCGGTAAAAAAAAAAAAAAAAAAAAAAAAGGAGCAAACACTACTACTGTTCAATCTCCAAGACCTCAGGAAACTTCTGCAATATCCCAGAAGATTGTAACATGAGGGCTATTCGTGCCAAATTCGAGTCTGCAATCGGAACTCTCACCATTACAATGCCCAAGAAATCTCAAGTCGATCCCAAAGCCAAACCCATATCCAAATCCGAAGAAGCTGCCAAAACCACCACCCTGGAAGCGCCTTTGCGCCCTCAACGTGACACCATGGACAAGCAGCCAAGGTATGGTAAGATTCAGGAGGATACGACAGATCGTTTCACAAGTGATCCCAAGAGAAGATCAGAAGTAGATGACAAGATCACCACCACCACCACTACTACTGTTCAATCTCCAAGACCTCAGGAAACTTCTGCAAGAGTACCACTACCAGGTCAAGCTCAAAAGGATTACATTGACACCCCTCGTCCCAAGATGATTGCCCACTCAGAGTCAGAATATGAATATGGGAAGAAGGGATCAAAAGAACCGACCCCTCAGAAAGGTGGTGTTGCTGCTGCTGCTGCTGCAACTCCTGATCCCAAAGCGACTTCAAGTACAAGTGAGATGGCAGAGGGGGTTGAGAAACAACAGGACAAGAAGGAGCGGGCAATTGGGTCAAAAACTAGTGCTCCAAAACGTATTGTTCAAGAGGAGGGCATTAATGCCAGAAAAGAGAGTGAACCGAAAGGGAGGCCGAAAATGACGGAGATTGTTATGGAAAAGCCTATTATTATGCAAACAAAGGAAAAAGACAGTAGCAGTCTCAAAAATAAGCCTGAAAATGTTGTTATGAAGAAGGCTGGCAAGAAAGAGAAAGACAGTACTATTGAAGGAACTGTTGGTGCACAGAAAGAAGAAAAAGCAAAGGACTACTCATATTTTGCAAAAGTGAAGCAAATCACAGATGCAAGTTCCAGTGGCGGCAGTGGTGGTGGTGATGGTTTTGAATTAGAGAAATATAAGCAGGCAGTGCAGAGAGTTGTTGGCAAGGGAGGCCTATCCCTGACCGAAGAAGAGAGACAATTAGTGGTGAATGTGGGAGCAGCTCTTCTGGTCATTGTGGCTCTTGGGGTTTACATCTACTACACTTAGGGTTCCACTAGGATGCTAAAAATTAATTCTCTTTGTACATTTACATCCATGTGTGTAAAGTAAATAAGGGGCATTCTACTCCTAAGGTCCTACCATGAATATATATATATATATAAAACAAGTAAAATTTATATCATCACTCAATGCCTTTACGTCAAGACATGCAAATACTTTTCACATTGACTACAAATATTTCAGTGTGAATCTGCTATTAATTCCTCATCAAAATGCAGTTCAGATTGTACAAGAGCACAAGAATCCTTGCAACATCGACATCCAATCTAATTCACAGAAATTCAACACCAAAAAGGTACATCAATTCCTTTCACAAACCATTAAAGGTATTAGAAACAGAAACTTAACACCAAACAAACTCAACACATTGACTATGGCGTATGAATGAGCTTTGACCTACAGGATGACGTATATAGGGAGAGGGAGAGGGAGAGTAGTTTTTCCCCATGTTTTATGCTACAGGAAGAATGGCTGAATGAGTGTCAATCCCCTTAGGTTCAAGAATTCCGTAAATCATGACATTGATTGAAGAAGTAGTTGAAAAATAGACACATTTTTATAGGACAAGTAAATATATATATATATATATTTAAAAAGATTAAGATAAATATGCCATAACCACTATCTTTAAAAACAATAAATTATACTTAATAATCCAGCTGGGACGAAGAAATTTTTCAAAGTACAAACTCAATGATGGAAGCATTTTTTATCTAATGATACTCATTCACTAACATCATCTGCAAATACAGTATCCTGTTCAATGACAGGTTTGTCTTTTATTTTTGACGATTTACCGGATGGATTTATCTTCTTTAAGGGTTTTCGCACCTTCTCAGCCTGCAACTCCAACACCTTCTCTGAAGGTTTCCGTCTTCTTTTCAAGTGTGGTCGTGTATCTTCAGCAGCAGAATTATCCATCACTGCATACAAGTCAAGTCAAATTAAACATGGAAACTAAAAAGAAACATTTAGAATATTATTTATCCCAAATAAGATGTCCACTTGCAGTAGAGTCAAAACTCTAGTATGATTATATAAGCATATTAGATGTGTTCATTTGCACTTTACTTGTGGAGAGAGAGAGATAGAGAGAGTGAAGTCATTTTCCTCTTCCTACCATCCATGATGCAGGAATCACATACATTACTATCATGTAGTGTATAACAGTCAAGCAAGAGGGGACAAATTTGTATCTTCCAATACCATGTCAAGCAAAAGAATTTCAACAGATTTCTTGACTGATGGAAAAAGAAAACAATATTTCCTTCTTTAGCATTTTGATTTCTGATAACAAAGCACAAAGACCCAATGGAGTTAACCCTCTTTGCCAATAATACACATCACCTAATACATCACCCCAACCTATAGGAAACATATAATCATCACATCCATAACAAAGCTTAATATAATACACATACATGCTTGTGTATAATCAAACCAAACCTTAAGTCCCGTCAAATAGGATCGGCTACATTAATCCTTTTTCTCGACGCGGCTCTATCAAAGGCCATTTCGTTAATCAAATTAAGTATATTCATATCTCTATTTACTACTCTAGTCAACGTCAATTTAGGTCTACTCCGTCCCCTAGCACTTCCATTTACCGTCACTGCATCGCATCTCTTCATTACTGCCTCTGTTGGTCTCCATTGAATATGTAAACCATCTCAATCTATAAACTTATCATCTATCAGTGCCACTCCTACCCATTTCCGAATACACTCATTTATAATTCTGTCTTTTTAGTCTTGTCACACATCCACCTTAACATTCTCATCTCAGCAACACTCATCTTATTTACATATTGTTTCTTGGTTGCCCAACACTCCGTCCCATACAACATCGCTGGTCTAATAGCCGTTCTATAGAACTCTTCTTTTAGTCTAGTGGGTACTTGTTTATCACACAGTACCCCAGACGCACTTCTCCATTTAAGCCATCTCGCCTTAATTCTATGGACCACATCTGCATTAATCTCTCCCGCTGTTGTGAAAATCAATCCTAAATAACGAAAATGTTCACTCTTAGGTAGTTCTTGGTTCTTAATCTTCACTTCTTCTCTGCTTTCATTGTTACTGTTACTAAATTTACACTCCATATATTCTGTCTAAGTTCTGCTTATCTGAATTCTTTTAGATTCAAGTGCTTCTATCCAAATCTCCAACGTAGTGTTAACTTGTTCTCTAGTCTCATCCACTAACACGATATCATCTGCAAAATGCATACACCATGACACATCATCCTGAATATTTCTCGTTAACTCATTCATAACTAAAGAAAAAAATAAGGACTTAAGGTAGATTCCTTGGTGTAACCCTACAGTAATTGAAAATTTATTTGTCACTCCAAAAAGCGATCTAATAGTGGTCACCATCCCTTCATATATGTCCCTAATCACATCAATGTAACCTTTTGTCACCCATTTTCTTCTCTAACACCCACCGGATTATATCCCGAGGCACTTTATCATACGTTTTCTCAAGATCGATAAACACGATATGAATGTCTCTTTTATTTTCTCAATACTTTTATATTACTCTCCTCAAAAGATAAATCACTTCCATTGTTGACCTATCAGGCATAAACCCAAATTAATTCTCTGACACCTCTGTTATATCTCACAATCGACGTTCCATCACCCTCTCCCACACTTTTATTATATGACACATTAGCTTGATTCCTTTATAATTATTGCAATTTTGGATATCTCCTTTATTCTTATAGATTGGTACTAAAATATTCTTTCTCCACTCATCTGGCATGTTACTAATCAACAAAATCTTACTAAACAACATAGTTAACCAAGCCACCCACTTCTTACCCAAACACTTCCAAATTTCAATAGGAATATCATCAAGTCCTAAAACCTTATTTGATTTCATCTTCTTAAATGCAATCTCCACTTCAAAGTTCATAATCTTGCAATATAACCTATAGTCTTGGTTTTCCTTATTACTGACTATTTCCTCCCCTATTAGCGCATGTTCCTTGTTTAACAGTTTCTCAAAACAGTTCTTCCACCTCTCCTTAATCTCTTCATCCTTTACTAATACCTTAGAATCCTCACTCTTGATGTATTTAACTTGATTAAAATCTCTTATTTTGCTCTCCTTATCTTAACAAGTTTGTATACCCTGTTCTCTCCTTCTTTACTATCTAATCTAGTATATAGGTCATCATAAGCTTTCAACTTAACCTCTCACTATTTTCTTGACCTCCTCATTAGCCAATCTATAGCTCTTAAGATTTTTTTTAGTTCTATCCTTCTGCCACTTCTTAAAGCACTCTTTTTTCGCCTTAACTACCGATTGAACCTCTTCCCTCCACCCACAAGTTTCCCTTGAGTTTGGTCCCTTTCCTTTTGACTCTACAAGAACTTTTCTTGAGATTCTCCTCATACAATTGACCATCGAGTTCCACATAGTATTAGGATCATCTTCCAAGTTTCAAGTACCTTCTTTATCCATTTTATTCTTAAATATTTTTATTTTATCCCTTTTTAGCTCCCACCATCTCATCCTATGACGCCCACTATCCTTCCTAGCTTGGTATTGCCCTTTGAAGCATAAATGTAAAATTTAATGTATAAAAAAAGAAAAAAATAGAGAATTGTATTATTGATTTATTGAATGTTATATTACAATGATTCCTATATATAGAAGAGAGGATGTGGAAAGAGAATAGGTGAGTGTGTAGTAGGTATGGAGTAGGTGAGGAGTAGGTGAAGTAGGTGAGTGTGTAGTAGGTGGTAGTGGTAGGTGTGTAGTAGGTGAATTTTAACAATAAATCTAGTACTAAAATCCTATATTGAGACGTTAGGCTCTCTCCAGGAACCACCTTACAGTCATTGCATTCTAGATGGTCCACTTTCCTCACTAAAAAGTAATCTATTTGGCTCTTAACTCCGCCGGGATTGTTGTGTGTTAGGTAGCCGACAGCCAACACGTAAAAAAGTCATTCGGATCCCTTATGACAATGAATCCTACATGCTTGTTTATATCCATATGAAATCCTCAATATAGGTTTTAGAAACGTCTTTATCATTTAGCTCACTTGTAGTTGGGGAGGAATTAATCCAATACAGAAGTTGCCAGGTCACGGTCTTAAATCACAAACAAACACGACCACTGAAGCCTACTCTTTGAAAATAAGTTTTAGGATAACTTAATAGTATATATATATATATATATAAACAGGCAAGGCGTAATCTTACCTTCAATTGGACTTGCTTCATGGTTCATTGCCTGTCCATTCTGCCCTGCCTCCTCTGAAAGAAGCGAACCAGAATGGTTGCTGTCCACCAGCTTTGAAGAACTTTCTACACACTTGTCTAGCTGTTCAGGAACATCAGGGCAGGGAATGGCGGGCAAAAAACATATTTCTCCCTGTGACATATCTGAATCACTGAAATCATCCTTCTCCACTGACATAATATCAACTTCATCATCTTCATTAACATCTGATTCTTTCACCTGCAAGTACGCATATACATTATAGAAGCAAAAGAATAAACAAAGGAAGAGCTACCCAAGTAGGCTTTCTTCTCTTACCTTTCCAGTTTCCGGTATCAGATCAAATTCGTCTTCTCGTTCTACGTACTCCTCATTTTCCTCAAGTTCCTTGAAATCCGGAGCAAATGCACTCCAGTTCTCAGTATAATCTTTAGCCCAAATATACACCAAGCCACCTAGGGAAACAGAGACAACAATAGGGTGGACAGGATGCCATGCTAATTCTAACAACCCATCCTTTGGACCTTCAAGGATTTTTACAAGATGTCCAGCTCTATCCCATATGTAGATCTTGTGCTCATATCTGTTAGCAGAAGCACCAACAACCCACTCACCATCACCACTAAAACATGGAGCATTCCAATGTATTTTGGTGATGGCATCTTGAAACTCTCTGAATAATGCTAGGCACTTTGCTCCAACAGCTTTAAAATTCTCAACCCCATCTAGCTCATCTGGGATTTTGCTTGATTCATCAAGGGCTTTAAGTCCATCTTTCAGGGGCAGAAGGTTCTCATAGATCCTGATTGTCCGGTCATTTGAGTTCGTAAGAACATATTGTCCTTCCTGCTAAACATAATATTTGTTATGAGGGAACCCGCAGAAATAGGAACAACACCATGAACTCGAAGCATTTTGTGATCTATCACAAGTATTTCTCCTTCAGAGTTCCCCACATAAACCATATCTCCATAATTGTTAAAGCATGCAGAGGTTGGAGTACAACAAGCAGATCCATCTGACAATTTATTGTGTACAGTAACCATCTCAGGCAATGAGACTGGAAGGACAGTAGTGGTTCCAGTATTCAAGTCTCACATGGGTTTATTTATTTTATTTGAAGCTTTGCAGATGACCATCGAGACAGAGAGAGTGGTGGTAAAGGAAATAAAATATAATAACAAGAAAGTGGGGTGGTGTGTCAAGCAGGGGCTATGAGGAATTTTATTTTATTTGAAAGACAAAAGGTAGTGGAGATAAATATTAAAAGAAAAAGAAAGGAAAAGAGAGGGTTTAAAGGGAGAGAGAGAGAAACAATGCCCGAGAGAGAGAGAGAGATTGATTGAGTGGGTGCCCCCCATGTGCGTTGCAAAGAGAGACCCAGCTAGATTTCATCAAAGTTGATAACTCCCTCCTGGTTCTCAACCTTGGACATCAATTGTATATGCTTGGCATGAATCCCAAGAACCTTTCGGACATTAACAAGATCCGAGCCCTTGCGCACAAAAGAGAGAGCAATCATATCAATGTTGTTAGGAACACCCCATTCCAGGATGTCTTCCTTGTCCTTCTCTGTAAGTGTAGGAAGATCCACCACAACACCAGGAAGATTCACATTCTTCCTCTCACCTAAGACAGCAGTGTTCTGGCAACAGCATCTCACTGTTCTAGCAGCTGGATCACAAGACAAGACCGTAAGACTGATAGTGCCATCTGCACATAAGATGGTATTCCCAGGCTTCACGTCGACAGGCAGCTTTTTGTAGCTCATGGAGATCATCTCCGCATTCCCTTCTATGCTGTAATCAGTGGAAATAGTAATTTCCTAACCCTCCTTGAGTTGAACAGGCTTTGCATCCTTTAGGAAACCAGTTCGAATCGCAGGTCCCTTGGTGGTCCACGGTGGTTCACAGCGGTTGACGACGGTGGAGCAACAGTGGTTCTCCGTCTATGTGTGTGATGGCTGAGAAGAGGACTGGTGTGAGTTGCTTGCTGCTATGGCTTCTATGGTTGGTTGTGAGGATCGGTGGTTTTGGCGAGGTGGTGCTGGTCGGAGTCTCTGCAAAGGACTTGGGGCGAGTTCGAACACCAAGAGAGGACTGAGAGACTAGCCCATGTGTGTGTGTCTGTCTTTCTCCCTGAATTTCAATACAGAGAGAGAGAGTTGAAGATGCAGCGAAGTGAAGGTATGTGTAGAAAAACTCCAGCGGGCAGTGAAGGCAAGGTTGCCGGCCGACTGCCCGCCGGTGAGAAAGAAATATAGGCTTAAATCTTATAGCTCTAATACCATGTAAAATTTAATGTATAAAAAAAGAAAAAAATAGAGAATTGTATTATTGATTTATTGAATGTTATATTACAATGATTCCTATATATAGAAGAGAGGATGTGGGAAGAGAATAGGTGAGTGTGTAGTAGGTATGGAGTAGGTGAGGAGTAGGTGAAGTAGGTGAGTGTGTAGTAGGTGGTAGTGGTAGGTGTGTAGTAGGTGAATTTTAACAATAAATCTAGTACTAAAATCCTATATTGAGACGTTAGGCTCTCTCCAGGAACCACCTTACAGTCATTGCATTCTAGATGGTCCACTTTCCTCACTAAAAAGTAATCTATTTGGCTCTTAACTCCGCCGGGATTGTTGTGTGTTAGGTAGCCGACAGCCAACACGTAAAAAAGTCATTCGGATCCCTTATGACAATGAATCCTACATGCTTGTTTATATCCATATGAAATCCTCAATATAGGTTTTAGAAACGTCTTTATCATTTAGCTCACTTGTAGTTGGGGAGGAATTAATCCAATACAGAAGTTGCCAGGTCACGGTCTTAAATCACAAACAAACAAGACCACTGAAGCCTACTCTTTGAAAATAAGTTTTAGGATAACTTAATAGTATATATATATATAAACAGGCAAGGCGTAATCTTACCTTCAATTGGACTTGCTTCATGGTTCATTGCCTGTCCATTCTGCCCTGCCTCCTCTGAAAGAAGCAAACCAGAATGGTTGCTGTCCACCAGCTTTGAAGAACTTTCTACACACTTGTCTAGCTGTTCAGGAACATCAGGGCAGGGAATGGCGGGCAAAAAACATATTTCTCCCTGTGACATATCTGAATCACTGAAATCATCCTTCTCCACTGACATAATATCAACTTCATCATCTTCATTAACATCTGATTCTTTCACCTGCAAGTACGCATATACATTATAGAAGCAAAAGAATAAACAAAGGAAGAGCTACCCAAGTAGGCTTTCTTCTCTTACCTTTCCAGTTTCCGGTATCAGATCAAATTCGTCTTCTCGTTCTACGTACTCCTCATTTTCCTCAAGTTCCTTGAAATCCGGAGCAAATGCACTCCAGTTCTCAGTATAATCTTTAGCCCAAATATACACCAAGCCACCTAGGGAAACAGAGACAACAATAGGGTGGACAGGATGCCATGCTAATTCTAACAACCCATCCTTTGGACCTTCAAGGATTTTTACAAGATGTCCAGCTCTATCCCATATGTAGATCTTGTGCTCATATCTGTTAGCAGAAGCACCAACAACCCACTCACCATCACCACTAAAACATGGAGCATTCCAATGTATTTTGGTGATGGCATCTTGAAACTCTCTGAATAATGCTAGGCACTTTGCTCCAACAGCTTTAAAATTCTCAACCCCATCTAGCTCATCTGGGATTTTGCTTGATTCATCAAGGGCTTTAAGTCCATCTTTCAGGGGCAGAAGGTTCTCATAGATCCTGATTGTCCGGTCATTTGAGTTTGTAAGAAGATATTGTCCTTCCTGCTAAACAAATGCAATATCCTTTATCACATAACCAGCAGAAATGGGAACAACACCAAGCACTCGAACATTTTTGTGATCTATTATGAGTATTTCTCCTTTAGAGTTTCCCACATAGACCAGATCACCGCACTTGTTAAAGCACGCAGAAGTTGGAGTAAAAGCAGCTGATCCATCTGAGAATTTATTGCGTGATGGAGGAGCAGATCCTGTGTCCGTCTCAGGTAATGAGACTGGAAGGACAGTTGTGCTTTCAGTGTTCAAGTCAACAATCATGGGAGCAGTTGAGAACGGGCATGCCAGGCAAAGAGATGGGGTAGAGGAACCAGGGTGTAGATAAGCTTGGAAGGGAGCTTGAGGCAGAACTGTTCTTGTTATCTTCTCTCCTTTGACAACATCCCAAAGCGTTATTGATTTGTCCATGGCGGACACAAGTATGCGGTGACCATACTTTGACCAACAGACACTTGTTATGGCAGCAACACAATCCTTATCCTTGAGTTCCTTAGCAATGCCCCTGGTCTCAAAATCCCAAATAACGCAGCTTCCATCCATGCACCCAGCTGAAAGAGAGCAAAAGAATTTTCCAAAGTGATCAACTGGGATTCAAAGATACCTTACATTGTTTGATATACACCAAAACTTCTTTAGTCGAAACAACTAAAAGCTGATAATCCAAGAATTATTGAAGAAATGCAAAAGGAGGAAGGGGGGAAGCAAGATATATCTGGTTGCCACGATGTAATGGAAAAGACTATGGCAGCATCTCACCTACCAATACTTAATTATATTCTACAACTCCTTTACCAAATGAAAAGATAACAGAAATAGAGATAGCAGGGAGCAAGACTCAAATTTTCCAGATTGAGGCTTGGAATCGATGTGAGACCATGGTATTCTTTCTTGACAATGTTGTTTAATGATTACATATGACTGATATACAAGAAGATGGAGAATAATTGATGGTGTGGACGGATGGAAATGGGAGTATCTTAGTTAAGTCCTTCTACTCCTACCTTTTGGGTGCTTTGGGGAATTTCATTTTCATAAAAGAGTATTTGTTAACTAGGGTTCCTATAAAAGGTGTCTTTCTTTGTACGGATGACAACTGATTCTATTCTCATAATTGATAATCAGGAAAGACGGATTTTTGGCTCTTTTTTTTCTATTTTTTGGTTTATACAGTGGATGGTGACAAGAACCATAAATGTACGGCAGGCGGCCGCCAATTGAAAAGGGTAGAGAGTGCATGGGAGGTGGCCCCAATGTGCTTATGCGGTGTATTTGGCGGTTGAGGAATCGACAAAGTTTTGAAGACATAGAGACTGATATACATAGAATGCAGATGTCATTATTGCATAGTTTCAATATTTGGGTTCAAGGGAAGATTTGTGAATCTTCATTATCTTCTGTAGATTTTATAGGATAACTCTTAGGTGTGTTCTGTTAAAAAAGTGAGTATATTTTTTTTGGGTAAATTAAATAATCAAATAAAAAGTGTGAATGATATATACACATGAAAACACCAAAAATTTTAAAATATATATATATATATATATATTAGGAATGGAAGTAGAGCAAAAAAAGGGCAGAAAAATTGAGAAGTTGAAAAAAGAGGAGTGAAAGGAATTACCGGCAAGAAGGGTTCCTCTGCGATTAAAGGCGATGCATTTCGTGACCCCATTTTCCAAATACTCCTCTATCACTTCCGGAAAATCTCCCTGCAATGGGTCTTCACAAACCCCACACACCCATACAAAACAAAACAAAACAACAATCACCACCATCACCATTTTAACAAGTAACAACAAATTCAAAAGAAAAAAAAAAAACCCTACTTTTCTACAACAAATACTCACACACACACAGAGATAGATACATAGATAGATAGATAGATAAAGGTACCGATGATTGGGGCGTTCATGGTGGTGTTGGAAGAAAGCTTATCAAAATTCGAGGTCTTTGAAGCGCATTCGCAGCACAGACAAGAGAGAGAGAAGAGAAGGGTGTGGATTCGATAGTTCGCCGGGGAATAGGAGAGAGATTGGTAGTAGCAGGGAAGGGAGGGCTTTCTTCTTCTTCTTCCTCCTTGTGAGAGAGAGAGAGAGAGAGAGAGAGAAAGCTAGAGAGGGCTTTCGTACACCTATGAACCCCCACCGGGTCCGAGCCACCAGTCCGAACCAGTTTAAGTGGCTGATTATTTTAATAATTTTTTAATTTTTATAGAAAAAACGTAAGAAATTAAAAAGGTGATAGGATAATTTATAATAATTTTTTAATAATAACTAGCGAGTCTTAAATCGGGGATAATTTATAAGAGCATCTCCAGCAAGGCTAGTTAAAATAGCTATTCAAAATTTTACTTTACTATTTTAGCTAGTCATTTTTTTAATATACACTCCAACAAGGCTATCTACTTTAGCTATCTTCTATTAAAATATTCTTATACTTTAACTACCTTCTTTCCAATCTAAAAAAAAAAAACTAACTTCTTTCAAATTATTATTTTTCATTCTTCTAAATATAATTATATTTTGTGAAAGTTTACATTTTTCAACTATCCGTATTTTTCAAAATGGTCATATTTTTTCAACGGTCATGATTTTGTAAAGGTTCAATATTTTTTACAAACGGTCATATTTTTTTCCAAAATTTTTACAACGCTCAATAAATTTTTACAACTCATATTTTCCAACGGTCCATATTTTTGCAAGTCAGTTTTTATACTTTTTTCTATTAATAATAAGACCATTCCCTTATTCTTTGATCTTATCCTCAACTCAATTTTCTACTCACCAAACTTCCATATCTCTCTCTATGGCCTTTCCAATATCTCTTTTATGATATGCTTGTAATGACTTCTGACTACTCCGAATGATTGATGAGATGTTGAGATGCTCAAAAGCCTAAGTACTATGGATAAAGAACACACTAAGATTAGGAAATGGACAAGCTCACGGCGTGGTCTGGTTCGAGTCGAAAGTCAATCAATCGTGGATCATACAAGGTCATTGAAAGGCTTTGGTCTCACCTAATTGGCCTGAATCGCCTGTAGATCCGTCCTGAGCTAGTTTCGAAAGGGACGGTTTCGGATGATAGCGTCACGTTTTCCGAATCAACTGCAGTAGAAGCGCACCCATAACGTGTTCTCAAAAAAAGAAAGTGTGCTGCTGGGAAAGCTGGTTGTCTTCTCTGTCAGAAGAAACGTTGCACCTGTAGCATGCGGCTGTAGGATAGCCCGCTGAATTATGGATGAATATGTGAGAATGGAGACAAGCACGTGCCAATAGAAAGACATCACGTAAATATTTTATGTTAAAAGCAGTTGTTGGAATATTTTTTCTAAATGAGTAATTTTGAGGTCACCAAAACAGCAATGCAATCGCTAACTACTAGCAGGTTTGGTGAAAGTCGTGGAATTTCCTGGAATGCTGGGGAGGTATTGATTGTTTATGCATTGGAAATGAAAAATTGTCCGCTTGCGTTGAAAGGTATGTATACTGGTCACATTCATGAACCCAAACAATTATTTTGGACAGCTGTTGCATCATATGATCTTTTAAGATTTGGCATGCATTTTTTTGGATTACCTGGGGTCTCATATGATTCAACGTGCTAGAAAAGGTCTTTTTGTATTTGACCGAACTTGCTCAGGGCGTGCTCCTGCAGTCGAATTACACCAAAATCCAATGGTAATGAATATACAATGGGATACTATCTCGCCGATGGTCATAATATCCACAATGGTCACATTTGTGAAAAACATTCCTTCTCCTCAAGGAAATAAGAAAAAACTTTTTGCTGCCAGCTCAAGAGGCGACAGAAAGACTGTAGAACGTGCCATTTGGAGTGCTTCCAGCACGACTTGGGCAAATTGTGCGTCGACCAGCACGTTTTTGAATACAAAATACTTAAATATATTATGAAGGCGTGCATAATTCTACATAATATGATCATTGAAGATGAGCGGGAATGAACAATGGAGTAAAAGATTTCAATTATGATCAAAATCGTGACAGTCCCCATGTAACAATGTTACAGGAGAGAACTACTGAACTTATGGATTCATTCAATGCCTCATAACATTAGAGATAGGCAAACACATTCCTCATCTCCAATCGGACCTTGTTCGAAACACTTGTGGCAATTTAAACAGCGAGTTGTAAAGTTTTGAATTTGAAGTTTCATTTTAATGTAGTATGCTATTAGTTTTTGAATGTATCAAAGTATATGCCTTTAATTTATGTGTAATTTTATAATTCTATATGTCTTTTAATTATATGGTTAGTCATTTTTAATTCTATGGTTTTCAACTTTAATTATATGGTTTTCACTTTAATATTAATTCCACTCTTAATCTTTCTTCCATTTTCCATATGTTATTCTACTCTAAATGAAAGTCAATTAGA